AATTAAATGAACCTAAATGTATACATAGGCCTACTGATGATAGCTTGATTAAGATTTGGGTTAGATTGCCTTATCTAGGAAAACCAGGTGAGTTCATTTTACGTAGATGTTTAAATAAGGTAAAGAAACACTTAATTAAAGAGGTAAAATTCATAACTTTATTGCAGTATAAAAATGTTTCTCATTTTATATCTACTAAGGATCAAACCCCTAAGGAGTACAGAAGTTCTGTTGTCTATCATTTTAAATGTCCAGGCTGCAATAGTGATTATATTGGTAAGACAGATAGGTGCTTAATAACTAGACTTAAAGAACATTCTTCACGATCTGATAGTGTTATATTTGATCATGTTAAAAACTGTGAGGCATTCCAATATGTTTTAGGATTACAGGGTATACTTGAAAATGATAATGTCGTCTGTAATGTAAGTAATAAATTAGGTTTAATATTTTCTAGTACTAACATTATTGACAGCTCCCGAAACTGGTCTATCCTTTTGTTTAAAGAAGCGTTCGCTATACGTAGACTACACCCTTTGCTTAACAATGGGCTCAGAGCTTCAAAAGAGCTTTCTTTGTTTTTGTAGGTATCTTTGATCATTAGAGTAAGAATGCTTTGATCTTTTGTTTAAATCACTGCTATGTCACCTACTAGAGGTAATGTTTTGATTGGTTAAACACTTTTGGTACTAGTGCATATAAGCTTGCTTATATGGATAATTTTTTCATTCCTGATGATGACATAATTAATGTCGAAATATTGAATCCCAACACGATGGCGTGTATTTCAATACTTGGAGTATGTATTATACTTTCTTGTTTATTACTGGGTGTGGTGCTGTTTACTCATTTATATTGTGTGTAGCTTACTGTATAAATTAACAATACCGTAGTTGTTTGTGTTGTTTATATGCAGCCTTCAGAAACCACTTACTCATGGGCTGATTTCTTTTCACTGCACATGTACTTCTTTGGAGTGTTCTTCCTAGCCATCTGCAAACTCCATACATCGAGACAGTTTGATTCGAAAACCTGGATGGCGAGTAATGCAATTCAGATCACCAGTCACAGTAATATCTCTGTCTCTTGTTGCAACCACATCTGGAACCTCGTGACAGCACAGACATTCTTCGATAGCATTCATTTCCTGACAGTGTCCACATTTGCACCTTGATGATAATATAAACAAAGGATAATGAGCTTCAAATATTTCAATACATACAGTACATAACATTGATATGCTTTGAAATGTTTAAATTTAGTGGAAAACGGGGGGAG